GCAACTCCAAGGGCAGAATAAAGATGATTGGGTCAGAGAAATTTACATCTCTTTCCCAGGCCTGGTCATGCACCAAAACAGGTGTTAATCAATGTTGTTAATTCCATTCTATTTTGACCAGATTATCATCCTGGGAGAAATTCTCCCTGGCTGCAGCTGAACCATCTTATCAGCCTGAGAATGGAGCTGAGAAGCTCCGGCCTGGAATATTTTCCAGGCTGTAATTTTCCTAGCTCTCTTAAGTGAGTGTCCTGAGTTAGAGTTGTAGCAGCTCAAGGAAAAAGGGGAGAAGTTTGAGCATGAAGGCCTGCCTTCCTCTGCCAACACATTCGATGGCATGAAGTGTCATCTGTCACACCCTAAGAGATACTTTGAGGCTCAGCAATTGCCTTCTTAGATGGCTCACCAGTACTTCTGAATCAAGAGGGTGAGGAGGCATTCTGGAAAAAAAATTGTGTCTAACCTCACTTTCTCAAAATCAAATAGTTTCCAATGAAAATTCTGGATTTTCAGTTATGCAATGGAAAATACATCTTTTCTTTGGATAGCAAACACTTCACCTGTAGCACTTCACCAAAAATATAATTTGCATTTTGCAGATGCCAGCTATTTTACTTGGTTATTTTTGAGCCATCCTCTTGTCAGTTCATTCATCTCTCATTTGTGATGGAGGAAAGTTGTACTGACTGGAATACTTTTTCTGGTTCATTCAATCCAAAAACCAGTCAGGTAGTTGATAATGATGAATAAAACCATCATTTTCATGTTCTGCAGTCCTTGTTCACAATCTAGAAGTATTTTATGCTTGTTCCCATGTTTAATCTTTTGTGGAATAATTAAATGCCTTCTAACAAAGTAAGTTTATGGGTAAATCCACACTACAGAATAAGTACAGCACAGTGCAGGTGCGTCTTCAGCTAATGGTAAAACAATTAGCACCAAAATGAGGTGTAGAGGTAGGAGTCATTCACAGCTACAAGAATCAGGGTAAAACATCCCTGGGCAAAAATTTCTGATGGATGAGCCTCTGTGTCTTACTGCTTTTCACACGTTCCTCATCTTCTTCCTTCTTACTCAATATTGCAGTTGGCTGTTGAAATAAGGTCATAGGGAACAGAAGCACAATTATTGAGAGGCCATAATTGTTTTTAAAAAATCAGAAGAAAATTACAAATTAAAGTGGAATGATTATCTGGTTCACTCTGACTTCCATTTTCTAATCATCCTAAATTATGTTAATGCACGTTTTCAAGCTCAAAATTAGCAAAGGTCCCATGATGTAATTCTCCTAACACCCACTGAATATTACATTATACCAGTCCAATTTCATTTCAATCTTTGGCAGCAGCAACTGTCACTCAGGGCACATATATGGGGGTTTAGGGACCTCCCACCTGTTCTGTTTCTAGATAGTACTTTTAATACATGAAGTTTAGGAGTCATTGTGAAGTTAAAATCGGTTTCTTACTTGTAAAGGCCTAGGAATGTAATATAAAAAAATAACTCTTAAAACATGTTTGTCTTTGAAATAAATTAATAATCAAAAGCTTGCATCAAGTCTAAAACAAATCAAATTCAGTCATGAAGATGAGAAACAGGAATTATATCTGAGTAGCGAGGCTGATGGAGACTCAATGAGATCATTTTGTTCAAAGATTAAAGGCGATGAACACTGAAATAGTTGAGGAGGACGGCTACAAACGCATCTGACTAGAGCTGCGAAATTCAGTAATGATCAAAAGTTAATTATCAAAGCAGAGAGAACTACTCAACACAGAAAATTTGAGTCAATAGCTAAGCAGCTGAGAAAAGAAGTAATTTGGAAGGAGTATTTTCCTATAATGAAGTTGTATAAAAGATGTACATTTCAAAGAAACCTGCCTAAAACAAGATTGCATTCTTCCTGTGATCAGAGAAAAATAATTAGCTCTAATTGATAGACCTGCTGCACACCAAATATTTTCAAACAATATGTTTCTGCATCAAAGCTTAATGTGTAGAGATACTCACTGTCACTTTGATTTTGCCTTCCATTATCTTCTGCCACTGGGCATGCTCATGATATCGCAACAAATATGCTTTGAAACATGAATGAGCAACACCTACAAGACAAATAAAAGCAGAAGGACAGATCCTGCATTTCTTTCTCAGATGAAATCCCTGATGTATTGTGTGCTGTGTTTAACATCACTGTGATCCGACTCAAAGTGAATCCTTTGTAATAGGAAACGACCAGTTGCCTGATGATCCAGCATTAAACTGGGCCGACATGTAGATTAACCTAAGCACTTGCAATGGTTTTTCAGTTTTGTGTAAGCAAGCATGTGTGTGAAGGACACTGTTCCTCCAGCATGTGCCTTTTCTTAAGAGTTAGGAAAATGCCTTTTTCTGGTAACAAAGGAAAAAGGAGGTGGAAATTTTCCATGTAAAAATCTAGGGAAAGATACGTGCTAGAATGTTCATGGTCCAAGAAAACAAAAGATATATCTATAATTCTTTCTTCCTGAAGCTGCAACATTTCTTTCAGGGTAAATGGTTGTGATCGACATAGCTAAGTGGTCAAAATCAAACATGCGGTTTAGACTCTGCTCTTTCATATTCTTTGACTTTGACATTGCCAGTTCTCACTCTCTGAAATATCTTCATTTCTTTAATCTTTCCTGTAAACAGTTTAGCTCACACCATCATGCATGTGCTCTCCAGAATATATTCTGCTGCATTTTGAATTAAATCAACTGCATTATCATGATTTACCTGTGATCCTAGACACTCTCCGCGGTTTCCTCTGTGTCTTGATACCTGCTTTTGTGTAGTGATTTTTGAATAATTCAGGGGAAAACCTTGATTTAGGTGCAAGTTTCACATGCTTGAACTCAGAATTGTTATAGTCCAGCTATTTGGTATATAGAAGAGTCAAGGAAAATACCACTCTACAGTAAAAAAAAATCTGACATTGTGGAATAATGTTTATGAGCTTTAAAAATAATTGTTTCCTGCAGGGTGGGACTGAAACTTGGCTTTTAGTGGGAAGCTTGGGAAACTGAAATGCCATTTTTGATGGCGTTTCAGTTCATTTAAAATGGATCGTTTGTGTGTTGTTACATGTAGTTTATTACTTAGAAAGTTTCTTAATAGCATGCTTGTGACTCTGCATTAGCATATGGCCGCTGAAAAAGGGAGATTTGGAAGAGAACTATTGGAAAGAGACACAATCACAGTATCTCACCTTTGAGGAAGGATCCCATTTCATCATAAGCTTATTTGAGAAGGCATAATTAGGCTTGGGTTTTTCTCAATTACTTGTGCAATCTGAAGTTGAGCATTTCCTGAGGTGTTTTATTTGTTTTATTTAGCAGGCCTACTGTACAATTAGTATAGTTGATTCCTGTCATGCATTCATTGATTTATTCTTTAGATGCAAAATATAATCTAAATGAAACAAAAAAATTTTTCTTTGCAAGCTGGGAGTCAGCCCAGAGGATTGCTGTTGCGCCGTCCAAGCTCTCACAAGCTCTCACAAGCTCTCACTTTCTCCCAAATTTTAAACTCATTATCAGGGATTTCCATGAATTTAAACACAGATATTACCTTTGCTGTGATGGGAGGCAAAAGCAGGAATTTTGAAAAACCAGCCCCATCATGGATCCCAAGGGAAAATTTATTCTGGCAAATTTAGAGCCCACTTGTGCAGATCCCAGAGGTTTCAAAAGTTTATCAGTTTTCATAAAGGATTTAATTCGTCAAGAGTTTATATGAGCATTTCTCGGAACCGCTAATACTCACACTTCTTATGTAGGAACCATTTTATTTCCATCTCTAAGTATAGCAGAGGTTAAAGTTCCTCACCATAACCCTTCTCCTAAATGTTGGAAGGCTTTTAAGAATACCTCTGCAGGTAATCAGGCACTAAAACTTTCCTTTGTATAATGGGTTTATGGATCAGTTGTCTTAATTCTGCCTTTTGCCACTCTCTGTGCTTGTAATCTCACCAACCATCTGACCACTTTCTACATTTAAATCTATTACAGCCTTGTTCTGCAAACACCAGGAGGAATTCTCTAAAATTATAGAATACTAGCTTTTTCTGCCAGTGATATTTCCAGCCCTCTTCCTTGAAAATATTATTTACCTATTCTGAAGAAAACAAGAGTGGGATGCAAGGTCGTTTCAGATTACATAATTATGCCAGAGAAGCATTAAAGGGAAAAGCCTCTACTAACATCTTGAGCAGCTTAACCCGTGTGATAGACTGGTGCAGCACTGCCATCGGTGCCCCCAGCTGTGTTGCTTAGCAACATTTTAATTCAAGAAGAATCGAAGGAGATGAAATCCCTGTGGAGAGGGAAACAGAAATAAGAGGGCCGTTGACAGATGATCTGAGTTGTTTCTTCTAATATACTGTGAAGATCACTGGCTCTTTTCATGAATGATAAATGGACTGTACACAGATCAATGGGTTCAACAATAAACTGGAACCAGGCTCCATGTCTGAGGTGGTTCAGGCCTAGAGGCCCAAAGATTTACTCATTTAGATGATTTGGAGTGTTTTTTCTTAAAGGTTTCACAAGAGGAAATTGATCTGAACATTTGGTCATCTCTTGCCCTTTTCTGTTGCTGGTGAATAAAAACAGTTTTGGAAATGGAGTCCATTCTTCCCTCTATTCTTCCCTCTATTTTTCCCTCTATTTTTTCCTGTTGTTGTTCTTGCTATAGGGACCGATAGCTTGTGACAAAGGGGCCAGACCTCAGAGTGGGAAATGAAGTGGCAGCCCTGAATGAGCAGTTCTCAAAGACTGATGGTCATTAAAAATAAACAAACCCTGCTGATACCACAAACTGGGCCAGGAGCATTTCAGACCCAGCACTCTCTCTCTGAATGGTCCTACAGCCTGTGTCCCAGCTCTGGGATGTTGCTGGTGAAAAGCTCCCATGAGCTGATGTTTGCTTGCTTTGGTGTGTGGCTTAATGATTTGTTTTCCCCACCCCTCTTGTGTTTACAGGCTGCCGAAAAGACAAAATTGAGAAACATTCCTGTAAAGTAAGTTATTTTTATATCCCTTTGAAAATGCAAGTTTAACAACATTGTTGTATACAATGACTAAAAAGACAGTAAGAAGGGTGATGAAAGAGATAATAGAATTCATGTTACCCCTAATCATAGGAGTAAAAAGATCAGTATCATTGAGGAAAGCTTTTGATTTCTCATGTGATTTCTCAGAGATTGCATTCCTCAAGTTTTATTCAGTTTCCATAAATTAATGTGTTGTCCATGAATAGCTGCCAAATAATCACAATCATACTCAATACATAGTGCTTCCAGCCTTGGGGAGGTTTGTACATGCTAAAAAGATTATGATTTTTAATTGCAATCCTCGAAAAGGTCTGTCTGGGGAAATAACTAGGAATGTGCCAAATAATTTCTAGACACATGGGAATATTTTGCACCTATTTGTGAAGGCTTTGCCATCCTGTTGATTAAGAGCTCTTTCTCCCTCTGTGCATGCCCCTCTGTTACGCCATATGCACATACATGTTTCTGCACTTTGTAGCAGGGCTTTGTGAAGGATGAGCAAGCTACCAGGGAGCAATTTTAGGGGCATTTTATGATAAGTTCTTAAATCTTAGGGCACTAGTGGCAACACTCAATCATATATCTTTGAATTAAGAAAGTTGCTGTATAGATGTCTGGGGTCTTTGAGAAAAGGCATTTTCAGTTAAAGCTAACAGCATCAGTATTAAACAGTTATTCTGTTTAAATAATTAATACTTCAGTCCTAATGGACTCTTATGTACCAATAAAAACATATATTTTTACTTCAGTAGATTATTGTAGCAGTTTAACTGCATCCCAGGAACTGTATATTCCTGTTACATACAGAGTTCTTATTTTTATAGTAGTTTGCAGACCTTGCTGACTACTAGACTGGAGTGGGTTTGTGTTTGTAAAAGCATGCACTAACAGGATTCCCTGATCATTGTGTTCTAGCACCCATAACAGAAAGGGACAGTTCTATCTGTCACTTGGATTCCATCATATATAGTAATTTACACCTTAAAAAGTGAACACAAGATGTGTATGAACACTCCTTGGAGTGATTAGGCGATATGTCAGATGACCATAAATCACTCTCTCTTTATGTTTCATTCAGTCTGATAAAAAATAGATATAGGATCCAGCAGGGACCTGATAGCATGTGAAACTTGTAATAAGACAAAGGACTTTTCTTGCCTATAGGGCTAATTCAAATTCAGTTCAAGCTGAATTAAAGTCATTGTTAGCTGCTGGTTGTTTAATAGAGGGTGAAATGAGCTGTGTTTCACCTCACATTATACAGGATCCAGGAGTTGCAAAGTGATGAAATTCCTGGGGAACAGATCCAAAATAATCATTTATCATTCCTACACTTTTTTTAATATTTTGAATCAAATTCTCAGGAATGACTTAACTGAATTGTATCTTCCCACTTGTAACAGAGACACTGAGCACTGCAGTTACTAAACAGCATGTATGTCACACTGATGCCAAATTAATCCACCAGAAATATTTGAGAGTTGGGGGGAAAGGATGATTTAGGTTAAGTAATTTTTTATTGGACTTGAGTAAGGGTAAAAATTTGAGATGGAAGAAAGCCAGATGGACATTCTCATTCTTTCCACATACATGTGTGTATTTCACCCTGTCATGTTTCCCCCAGCTGGTTGTTTAACTTCTCCTTGACTATGTTCATCGTTGCAGCTTCAATTAGTACCCTAGGGGGATCCATTATACCTATTAATTACACTATGTATAGCAAAACAGCTGAAAAACCTGCCTAGTTTTGTTCAGTGACATGTATCTACTTAAAGTACCTGTATACAGTTATGATTGTATGCTAAAGCTCTCAGGGCAAAAGAAATAATAGTGTCTTTAAGATAGCTGTAGTAGCCATGGATTGCATTTATATGTGTTAGAGCCACACTTGGTAGAGCTCAGACTTGGCCAGCTTTTATTTGCTACTTTTGTAGCTCTCAAATGTCAAGAATTTCACTTGAATTTTAATGTTCTTCAGCTATGCCATGTAAAGTTAGTGGCTTCCATTGTCATAAGGGCTGAAAGCTGTACAGATTCCTTCTACCATATGTGACTTATCACATACATTTTTTAAAACACGTTTTTATTATTAATACATATGTGATAGTACACTTCTTCAAATGTGAATTGCTTTTGGCTAAAAGCCATGTACTAATAAGTAGAGTTGAATCTAACTACATTTGACATCTGCTATAATATATTTTTTTTTTTACATATATAAGTATATATATAAAATATTAGCAGTTTTCATTAGCATAAACAATTTCCTTCTTTTTACCTTATGCTGATATAGTTCTTGTGTTCCAAAACTGGAAGCAGAAATTACTCCCTTTTAAAGACCATAGGTTATGTAGGTCCTTGGACAGAGCCAATAGTGCCACCATTCAAATGTATTAGTTTAGAAGTATGATGAAAATTTCTATAGAAATGGTCTGCTTAATTTCCATTGCTCAGTTCATTAATGTAGCTGGTGTAATGTTTGGTAGGAATTTTACTGTTCATTTATGTTCTCTTGAATCCCTATAGAAATACAAGGAAAGGGGGAAAAACAAGGAAGTCTTCTTTTTGCAGTTTAGTAAGGCAGCCAAAGCAGCTGGTTTCTCAATGTCTGAGTGTGTATTGGTGCTCAGACTACGTTGTGAGGTAAATCCCTTTTTCCTCTCCGGTCCTCCAGCTAGCTCTGGACCAGAGAGGGGTGGGAAATCCTCATAGACAAAGGCAAAGAACCAAAGAAGGCTCTTTTCTCCC